AATGTATCTAATGCAAAAACTCTACACATGCCCTTCCAAATAACGGGCATGTTGAAATGTAACGATTCACTCTATATATTTCTGAGGTCACATAGTTACCATGCTGATACTTTGTTCAGACATATTAAAGTATGTGTATTGTTATATAGATTTATATTTAATGTCAATTGATGGTGTGACTACTTTTAGAAATATCTTTCACTCTGAGAAAAGTAGAGCAGAAGTGTACAGGTACATTACAGTGCCATTTCTAACCGTCAGCTAACCCTAAAGATCCCAAAGTGCCCAAAATGCACCTGGAAACAACGGTATAATTGCGGGGGAAGAGTTGCAAAAATCTGCATGTTAACCTTCTTTATAGCATTTTTTTTAACTGGGAAGATTGTATAAGTAATAGCATAGAGAAACCATCCAGTATGAGTCCTGCGACAAAGGTCTAATCCAGGGGGTGTCCAAACTACGGCCCGGGAGCCAAATGCTGCCCACCATTTTGAATCGGCCCTCAACAAATGAAAAAAGTATAATGGAATATGGCCCACAAATGAAACTTGTGCTTGTCTTATATTGTACCTCTGAAATATAAATGTAAAAATATATTAAATAATAATAATACAAATAATAAACTCACGCTAGCATTTAGGCTCCTACAAGTAGTATTCATGTGTTAATAAGACCACTTTTCAAATGAATTCCGTCAATTACATTTTCTAACAAAGAAAAAGAAAAAAGCCCAATGACTTATTTACATAACAATCTTGAAATACACCCCTCCTATTTCTCCTTATTATAATCAAGCTGAGGCTGCTGTTTTAAGGGATGAGCTGCCAACACTCACAAGCATCATTTACCTACATTTGATATAACTGAACTTATGAGGCAATATACCTCTAGTGAGTGGCCCAGCCCTTCGTATATTTGTCTGTATGTGGCCCTCGGTGATAAACGTTTGGACACCCCTGATCCAATCCCTCACCCGCCTCCCGCCATTAACATAAACTACGGTGTTCAATGGGGAAACGTGGAGGCACCGCTCCCATTGGGTTGAGTGGATGATTTCTCCCCTTGAGTGAATATCGACCTGAAACACAACCTTAGCACCACTGAGTTACTTCAACTGTATCTTAAGTTCACGTTAAATTTGAAAAAATGTCACTTGGAATAACAGTGTGGTTATCTGCTTTCTTTCCAAGTTAGATGAGAAGAACTGCTCCCCAGATTAACAGCTATGAAGCTAGCAGTTTAGGATAAAGTATGAGAAAGTTTGAAACGTGTCATTTTCTGTACTGCCATTTCTTATCACTTATTGGTCGTTATAAAGACAAAGAAAATACTTCCTCTCCAAGCTAACATTTGACAATTTATTGCTAGCTCTACTTGAACAGAGTTGGCTAGCGTTCCCCCTTGTTTCAGTCGCTATGCTAAGCTAAGCAACCTTTCTCCTGGTTCAAGACTCTTATTTACCGCACAGACATGAGTTGGACATCAATCTTCTTATCCAAACCTCTTAGAGAAAGTAAATAACATATTTCCGAAAATTCTGAAGCTTCTATTGAAACAACCATTTATGTCCTTTAACCATATGGTGGATCAAACTAAAGGTACACCACTTATCTTCTACCCCTGTTCTTGAGTGTGTTGAACAGCTACATCTTCTCAACTCTTTGAAAATAAATAATTCTCTCCTATAATATTAAATATTTGAATGTCCAGACAATTTATTTTGTCTACATTTTAAAGTTTTTAAATACTAGCTTTGTCCAGCCGAACACATCCCCTCACATCAGTATGCCTTCACTCATCCAGCTGGAAAACAACAGAATACTTGATTAAGAAATCGTGCCTCTTGTTAATGCACAAGAGTGTGTTAAATGAATTATGGTGTGGCATGAGAACTCTGTTATTATCTCTTTCCCTTGTTCCAATGTTTCTATTATTCTATTTTAGGCCCTTTCTTTTTTTCAGTCATGAATCATAACTCCTGAAAATGCTAAACGCTCTGAACATTGTGTCCAGTGAACAGATCTTTTAGCATGTGGATTGTTTATTTGGTCCTGAACATTTTTTCTGTGGCCCGGGGCACACAGGGCCTTACTTCTTGATCGCTGTATAAAGATGTGATAGCTGTATGAGAGTGACGTGTATTAATGGAAAGTTAAGCTTTTTTTAACCTGACATTTAAAAAAAAAAAACAGCATGGAATAAAACTCATTTATACATAGTTAATACTTTGTGTAGACCAACAAAGAAAATATATAAGATTAATTAATTAAAATTAATATTCATTTGTATACAATGATGGAGTCATTGTTTATGGTAATTGTTGCTATGACAACAACATGGCTACCTTTCTATCATCCTTCTTGGGATTTTGTTTTTCACATTAATTGAAATAGCGTACATCACTAACTTATTCAAAAAGGGAATGTCTAATTAGTTTGTCTTGTTATCACAGCGTGATTAAATATTTTGTATGAAAACTTAAATCCTTGTAATATCCAAAGGTCCCTAGGGGAGATCAGGTGTTTATTTTGTTTTGTTCTTTTGACCTTAATTGTTTTTGTTTTTGTACATGGTGTTTTGAGGAATAAGAATGGACTTTTAAAGCAGACACCTATCTGTCAGGAAGGTAAAGAGGCTTTTGGATACATTGAAATATCTTCATCTTTTTCAGTAAAAATCAAACTTGTCAGCGATGCTCATGTTCACCTCCTCCTCAGAGTGTGTGTGGAGGCCGAGCGGAGCGAGCTCCTCTGTTTCAGTTTCAGACAGGAAGTGGTTCAGAGGTCTCTTTGTGCCCAGCTGTGCTGGGTGATGTCGATCCTTTCTGAGGTGTATACGAATGTGTGATGTTCACCTTGTTTGCACTTATGTACATAACTGTGTCAAAATACTCCAAATTTATTTTGAATAAATATAGAAAAAAAGAGTTGATTAAAAATCAAATCAATGTATTGTTATGAGTATGTCTATAATTGTATTACTGTATAAAAAGATTGCTCTGAGGGATCTTTACTTTTATTCGTATCAATATTTTTGTTTGCTAGAGCCTTGTTTTCTGCCAAGCATGACATTGCCTAGCTCTAAACCACAAATTATTTGCTTTTAAAAAAGCTTTTTTTCAGTCCTCTTATTGTACTATCTGAACCTGATAACAAACAAGAGGATAAATAATCAGTCTGAGATAATAAAAAAAAGGGGGGAAAAAGGACTATCTTAGTAGTTAAATGCTCATCATAAATACATAGATGCAGATGCACACATAAAGCTCAGCGTAGCTCCACCTGCAGGCTGGAAAGCAGCAGGAAGGAAAGAGGAGCAGAAATACAAATCAGTTGAATTTGTCATAGAGTTTTGATTTCACTTTACTTTGATCTTTCTTATTCTTTGCACTCTTGTTGTCAATAACTTAAACAACAGCCAATCTGACTTCTCCTCAGGCTTTCAGTCAAAATGGCAAACAACCTGGTTTTCCAATGTGATTCGTGCAGCAGCAGTACGCAGCTCTGCTCCTGCAGGTTTGCACATGTGATGGATTGACTCATCCTGTTCACAGAGTGGACTCAACATACTGTGGGTGGACATTTACACAAACAAGTGAATAAGAATGTGACTTTGTTTTGAATTGATTTATTCTTGTCATTATTTGTAATACAATTCAGTTGTAATTGTGCCTTTATCATAAATAATGTATATTACTTTCTTTTTACTCTGCATTTCAATTGACTTAAAACAGCACATGTATTGAGTGTGTGTAAAGCTTGTCCCTTTATTTAAAATCCTTTGTTGGAGAGCCGTTATTAAATTGAGGACAGTCTCAGACTGAATGGCAACCCGTGGGAGGCGATGGGGGCCAAAGACTGTTCAGGACTAAGCCATATGAAAAACTCTCCCTGACACTCTAGGACCGACTTGAACGTGACCGCTGTTTCTTCGTCATCTATATTTTCACTCGGTTTTCTGCTTGTGGTGCTTTTACGTGCTGCTGTGCTACATGCCAATTTATTTTGCAGTGTATAGCTATTAAGAGTAAGTTACTGTGCCTATGATGAGTTCTGCTATTTCTGTTTGACCTTTAATAAAACACATCATTGTGATCCTCTTGGAGTGCTTTTTAATGTTCTTCCTCTTTTTGTGTGCAAACGAGCTGTTATGAATATTATTTTACCTGAATGGCTCTAGTATGTCATAATACATAGTTACACCTTCTAGGATGTTTTCAGGTTCATATGAGACCAAAACAAATGGCTTGTTTTAAACCAAATCATTTTGTAAGCATCATGTGCTGAGAAGAGACCAAAAGAAACAGAAATATGAATCATAAAAACCTTAAAAAGTGTATTTCATACATAGAATTGAGTAACTTAATAACAGGTTAATAATCAGTGTTTCACTGGAATCTGGTTCAAAGTTTCAAGTGTGTTGCACCTGTGACCACACCCTGCCATTAGGTAGAGTACTGACACACAACTTAAATCAGTGTAGCAATATGATAGAAGATTATCCACTGGAGAAACCACACCCTTGATGTTCTGCTTTTAAAAATAACGTTACTACAGTTGCTGACAGGACAATGTAACAATTATGTCAAATATGAGTGGTGGAAGTAACCCGATTCGTGGATAAGATGGAGAATTGTGTTTTGAAAAATGGTTGTGAAATTCAAACTGGAGTGATAAATGATGAAGTGAGAGGATATGATAATACTCCATGCTTTACATTAATCATTCGCAACACATAATTGTTATTTATAAATAAGGAAGTGGCCTAAATCTTCTTCCAAGGATGAAAGACTATACAAATATAATTTAAATAAATGGATGTGATGATAATGCTTACAAATGTATAATTCAAGAAATGACATGTGCATTGATTGAAAAATAAGATGACTTCAAAGTCAAACTGAAGTTGGTGTCTTGCAGAGTCTGTAAATTTGTTATTAACAGCACTTAGTGTCAATTTGGAGAAGAGGCTTTTATTTTGAAAACAATAAAACCGGAAGTCATGTTGTCATTAGCGGAAACCCGACCGTTAGCTTCAGGAAATCAGTTGGTGGAAAAAAAGCTTTCCTTTCTGTGACCAACGCTCCGCAGTACTGAGTCAAACAAACACAGGAACAGCGATAGCCCGTCGCCCATGGACCCTCGGAGTGTAGCTCTAAACCCGCGGTGTGTCCTTCGATAGCTCGCCCCGGTGCCGAGGCTCCGGGCCGGGACCAGAACCAGGCCCGGCGGGCTGCTGTGAGCAGGGATCGATATGCCGTGTGCAGGGGAAGAGTAATGTTTATCACCGTGACTTTCTGTCTGTAGATAGTCATGTAAAGGGGGAGGAGTTTTTTTTTATATTTCGCTTGTTAGATCTCTAAAAGGCCTGATAAATGTTTCTGAAGCGAGTATAGTGGTGTAGCTAAGTCGTTAGCTGCTACGTTAGCATCCTCCGCCCCGATGAAAGAGTACAAGGTGGTCGTGCTGGGCAGCGGCGGCGTCGGCAAGTCCGCGCTGACCGTCCAGTTTGTCACTGGCACCTTCATTGAGAAATACGACCCGACCATCGAGGACTTTTACCGCAAGGAGATCGAGGTGGACTCATCTCCCTCCGTGCTGGAGATCCTGGACACGGCGGGGACGGAGCAGTTCGCCTCCATGAGAGATCTGTACATAAAGAACGGGCAGGGGTTCATCCTGGTGTACAGCCTGGTCAACCAGCAGTCTTTCCAGGTACACCCTGTCATCAAACACACATCACACACACATCACACACACATTACCTGCTCATAGTTATGTACTTCATCACAGCATTCCATGTATACACTGTGCATGGGGTGTGATGCTACTCCAAATGCAGTGTCTTGCACCATCTGAAGGTTTATTATTTATTATTCAAAGAGGGAAGTCAAATACAATCTATACATCAATTTAAAAGCAAGTGTTGCTGAAGTGATCTTGGCAAAGGATCTTTTGATGAATTGACATCCTTACTGTCTATGCTGTGCTTTGGTATATGGTGTATTGCATCAGTAGTTGGAGAAGTATTCAGGTATATTATTGAAGTAAAGGTAGCCATTCTACACTGTAAACATACTCTGTTACAAGTCGTTGCAAGTCGTACTCAGGCAATAGTTCAACATCAATTCTTATCAACATTTAGTTAACAAAAGTATACTATAATACAAAATGGCCCATATCAGATATATCGTTTTGGTGCATTACATTACATGTTACTTGTTAGACGCTTTTATCCAAAGCGACTTACATACTCAATACTGAGGGCAATCCCCACAGGAGCAATTTGGGGTGAAGTGTCTCAGGGACACAACGACATGCTGACTGCAGTGGGGTTTGAACCTGTGACCCCCTGATCCCAACACCAACGCACAACCCACTGCACCACACGCCTCCATTCATATGTTTAATGTTGCAGCCTGTACATGTGGGTTTAATTGAGTTATTCTATATTCTTATGGCCAGCTTTAGCAACAAATCTCTCATCATTTATTTGTTGGTATACTTTGTACCTCAGAATGCGTCTTTGAAGGCCTTTGAGAAACATACAAAGAAACACCCGAGTGTTTGACATTTACACGTGAAAGTAATTAACTAGGTAACAGCTTAAAGCTACCTAGCTTGCAAAACAGGTTCTGATTTAACATTCATGCACTAAAGAAGGAAACGTCTCGGCCTCATGGTAACCAAAACTGTTTAACTGTGCCAACAAGTTTAACAGAAAACTCAGAAACTCAAAGCTCTCATAAAGACAGCAATACTTGTCTAATGATGTTGTTATACAAGAAGATATTGCACATCAAACGCTGTGCCATGTTTCTGTACCAAATACTAGTTTTGAAAAGCTATTGCCCATTAAACCTTAGGAAGATAATGTTTAAAACCTATGCCAATTATTAAGCATTTGAACATAGTAGGGCTGCTCAATTAATCGTATTTTAATCGCGATTACGATTATGGCTTGCAACGATTACGAAAACCACATAATCAAAATAAAACGATTATTTTTTTATTATTATTACTTTTTTTTCTCTTTTTTTTTTCAGTTGAATTATACTTAAGGTTCAGGGTAATCAACTGTTCAAAACATACTGTTAAAAAAAAAATTCTCCAATAAATGGATGTTTTCAAAGTCAATGAATAATCGCATTTAATAATCGAAATTACAATTATTGACCCAAATAATCGAGATTATGATTTTTCCATAATCAAGCAGCCCTAGAACATAGTCTTTTATAATCTTTCACATCAACCCTGTGTGTTCATTGTTGTCGTTGGCATTTAAAATGTTTTTTAAATGCATACTGACTTTTTGACTGTACCTAATTCCCTCTCTTTTCCATTGTGAAACTGAACATTGCAAATCTGCTAAGAGCCAGTTAGCTGATGTTTCAGTACTGTAAACCGCTTGAAGTTTCACATGGAACCACCCTTAAACTCTCACTCTTCATCTTTCAGGACATCAGACCTATGCGAGACCAAATAGTGCGAGTGAAGCGCTTTGAGAAGGTGCCGTTGATCCTGGTCGGAAACAAAGTGGACCTGGAATCTGAGCGCGAGGTGGCGGGGGCAGATGGACGCGCTCTGGCTCAGGAGTGGGGCTGCCCTTTTATCGAAACTTCAGCCAAGAGCAAGACTATGGTGGACGAGCTGTTCGCAGAGATTGTCCGACAGATGAATTATTCCACCCTGCCGGAGAAGCAGGAGCAGTGCTGCACAGCCTGTGTGGTGCAGTGAGAAAGAGGTAACGGCAGCGCCATTCCTATCTTTTCTTGAGCTGTTGCGTTCATGTTTGGGCTGTCCCAAAGAGCACAGTTGGCCAAGCAGTCATTTTCCAAGATGTGATGAAATGTCCCTGCGGTGTCTGTGTAAAAGGCTTCACAAGCTGAGGAGAAATGTGACAAATGGATGACTGTGTGGCGTCTCGGTGCTGTGGGAGGGAGAGGAGAGGTTGGAAGTGAGAAGGATGAGTGGGTGGTGCTGCTCTGGCAAACTGTTGGTTTAGCTTGTTATCATAAGATCGCAGAAAGTATGCGGCCTTCAGAACACAACTGTATGAGCAGCTCGGGGCTGTGAGACTAATGAAGCACACAGCCGGAGAAAGAGGAAAAAAGTGACATCCTGAAAAAGAAGTTGTGTTCCAAAACAGGAAGTTCACTCTGATTCTGTGAGAGATGCTGCCTGTGTTACATAGTCACGTTTGAGCTTTTTAAAGGTGTGGTTTTAAGGGCTGCATTTGAACAAATAGTCCTTTCATCTACAATGTTCTCGATTAACTACTTGGTCTTTAAAAAGTCCCAAAAAGTGGAAAATGTTTATCAAAGTCCATCGTGATGTTTGCAAATGTCTTTTGGACTGTTATGTTAGTCCAAAACCCAAAGAGCAGTTTAATATATCACCAAACCAACAAAAGAAGGACATTTCAGATTTAAAATAAGCATTTTCTACTATTGAGATCCAAAAGATGACTTTAAGGCTAAATGGGTCAGAAATAGGAGGTGTTTATATTTCTATTGAAACATTAGTTGTATAAATAAGCTGTTTTGTGTCTCTTTTCTTTCTAGATGCATCATCTGTCTGGATCACCACAAGGATTTTGATTAACCATGAACCCGGGGACAAACTAACAGGAACTCACCGCTGTGGTAGAGTTTCTGTTCAATGTGGTTTCTGACTGCTTATCACAGAGCATCTGACAGGAAAGACGTCGGTCCTATTTTTGATATCATAACTGTTAGAAGACGTTTCTGCTGCAACCTTAACGGCCTTTGCTGCGACCCAGGATGGAGTCAGTCAGACGGACTTTTTACGAGCGGCCATCTGTGAATTTCAGTCTTTTATTATTTCTCCTTTTTAGTCGGAAGTATACCTGAAATAATAAGCAGAAGGGTTTGTGAGGTTGCAGCTTCTTTTTAAAGCTGCTTTACTCACTATTATATACTTTATTATTACTTGTATTATGTCTCAAATTTGGAATTCGACAAAGTATTTCATAATATCGAAACATTTAAACTTTTAAGCATGCATACTTCGACAAGGTATGCTGCTCGCTTTGTTTTGAAAGTCTTCTCTAAAATAGTTCTTCTAGCTGACGCAGACTGCAGTGGCGTGCACAATGAGTTCTATGGCTTCAGGAAACAGGATGTACGACTTTGTGGATTAAACATGTTTCATCAAGAGTTTACGGTTGTACTATCAAAGTAGCCTGAGGCAGCAAAACTCATCTGAACACATGCATGCTCAAAATTGAAAAATGTTCTACTAGATCAAGTTGAAGTGATAGGAAGAGCCATTTGACTGTTTTTAGCCTGAATCCTGTCAAAGTCTCTACAAGGCATGAATCGCGTGGACGCAGGTCTTCCATTGAGTAGTCTCTGTGGGAGAATGATTTTGGAACGACCAAAGGAAGCTCACAGTGCATATTTGTGTTTGACTATATGGCGTGTGTTGCTTTTAATCCAGGAGGCGCTGATTTCTTGTCATCAAATAACTCAGTGTGGTTTGATAAAAGTTCTTAATCAGATTTAACTTTGTATTTTTCTTTATCTTATAGTAACCTATTTATTTAAGACTAAAGACATTGGTAGACAGTTTTTAACTTTTAATTTTATACTAGTTTTTGCTTTCTGTGACTCTTCAGGATACATGGTACATTGTTTTGTTTTTAAAGCTGAGGATTTAACAGACCCTTAAATCATTTCTGTCGCTCCCTGGTCTCATGTTTCTTTTTTTTCTTCTCAAAGATATAAACAGCTGTTGTCATTTGGTAATAAACATGCTGGCCTTTCTGCTGTTGTCCCTTGGCACAGTTACAGTATTATCTCTGTTCAAAACATCCATACACAATCTTTTTTTCATCCCTAAACGTGACTGAATGAATAACAAAGGGGCTCCAGTACATGAAGTAGGGTTATTGTATTGTGATGGCAACATTCACATGGTCCAACACACCCCGTTATTTTTAAGGTCACATTTCTTTCTTGTGATTTTTATGACTTTAACTTATAAGCAATCATTATAGATGTGTTGGTTGCAGATATAACACGTGTTGTTGTTGATTGGTTTACTTGTACAGGCTAGGTCTGCACACTGAGGCAAAATGTAAAATATATAATAACTTGAAATGTCGCTCAAATGAAAGTACAGTTTTTTTAACAGCTAACTCGGTTTGAATTAAGACGATCACTAGTCTAAACAGGTCTCTTGTTGCAATGCCCAAACATAAATATTTTCCAGTCCTTGCACAGGATGTTCTAAGATTGATTTTAGAATATCTCTTGCACATATTTAATATTTCAAAAATACTATTAAACGGTCTTGAGGGATCAATTATAACAAAGACAAATATATTGTGCAGCCCTGGACATTTGGAGGAAATTGAAATGAGTTTTGAATTTCTTTCACATATGATGTTATATCTTTTTGGACATATTTGACAATGAGAAAACTAATAGAAAACTTTTTCTGAAGCTACATCCTCTGAAAATACCAGTTCTCACAAACACTTTCCACTTCCCTGTTCTGTGTGTTTTTATGCACCAGTGGAGTTGGTGTGTGTTTTGCAAGTTTTTTTATTTCTTGCTTTTGTCACACATGCTGCTGCAGTTTCCACATCCCACAGAGCGTGAAGCTGGCTCTTCTTCCTCTCGCTCTGCGGCGGTCAGGTGGAGCTGCTGCTGGAGGAGCTGCTGGAGGAGCTGCTGGAGGAGCTGCTGGTGGAGCTGCTGGAGGAGCTGCTGGTGCTCTGTGAGCCCGAGCATCCCTCAGGGTCACCACAGATCCTCAACGCTTATTGTGGGGAAAACATGACAACGTTTGAGAGCATGTCCCTGCTTGTTTTTTCTTTCATTGCAGAACAGAACAACTGTGCCTCTGGGCTGTAAGCAAAACAAACTCATTTTACACAAATAACACTAATCACTGCAGCTCTGTGTGGTTGAACTACAGGACAGAGAAAGCAGCCTCCAGACTGTTCATGTTGCCACAAAATATCAAAGTTCCCCGGGGTCATAGAGATAGTTAAACACGTTTTGTTAATTTGTAGGGAATTAGACAACAAAACCAGTATGTACTTGGTAAGTAATGGAAAATATTTTTGTAATCTCTGTTTCATTGTTTTCATAACTTTTGATATCTCCATGAAGACACACTTGGTGATTTGAGGGTCAAAAGAGGTACTAACTGCCACATTTGGTTGACTGTAAAAGTGTGTAGATTTATACAGTACTTGTATAATATTGAAGACATTAAGCATGCTTGTCTGGTATGATACATGCAATAAAGAGTGAAAGTTTCATGAGATAATAGCAAACATGTATGGCGACAAAAATAAATGAGAGGTTAAATCAACTAGATATCAGAGGGAAAATCCTGTTGTGAAATGTAGACCATTGTACTGAGGATTATTAGGGCTATAGGAAAAGGGGAACAAATAAGATTTATTTTAAATGTTGGATTTCGAGAATAAAGTTGAACTGTCAGTATGTGCGCTGACGCTAGAGGTTTTATTTACTCTCAAAAATATAACATTAATCTTGAAATATCAACTTTAATCTTGGCATTTTCACTTTATTCTCAAAATGCAACAAAAAAATGTCACATTTTAAAGCCTGGCACTCATAATCTTCCACACATATGGTCCACTGACCTTGACATATTTTGACACACAAATTCTCACAGGGTTCTTCTGAGGCAGCTCGTCACTGGGGGCGTCTGGAGTGAAATATCACCAGACGTGGTAATGCCCCCCCCACGGCCCCCCAGGATCCCAGCTGTCAGTGTCAAGTACAAACTTCCTGCCCTGACTCCTTTAAAACTCCGTCAGCATGTTTACTGTTTTTCACCAGCAACAGGAGGTCTCTGCTCTATTTTGCAGGTGTGCTTACTTATCATACACGGAGACAGGGCGCTTCATCACTGTCTCTGAGACATGAGAGGTGGTGTTCCAGGAAATTGAGCTGTGAGAAAATATATAAATATGAATGATGCCCCCTTATTCCTATATCAACTTTCAAAACAAAGTGCTTTTCAGTAATACAAACCACATTTAAAACACAAGAGAATAAAACAAATAGAGCCAGAAAACCAAAAACGAGTGTATGTAAGTTTAAAAAAAATCTAATTTGAAAAATTATTTAAAATATGTTAGTTTGCAGTCCTGATTTCCTCAGACAGTCTGAACCCTGACTACAAGGTTATTGTGAGTTATAGCCTAGGTTGTTATGTAAAATTATGGTTATTGTTTTATTGTTTGATATAAAAGGTGCTGTATGAATTAAGTTTAGATGATTTTCATTATGATAAAGTCACATTCTATACTATTATATTTCATGTATAATTTCAGAAAATCAGCTCTGAATAATCTAAACTGAGTTTAAAGTGGTATTAGCAGTAGGAAAATATAGCAGTTGTAGCTCCAGGCCTCGCGGGGGCAGCAGCACGTATTTTCACGGTTCAGACTCTGACGTCATCAGTCTAAGGCGGAAGTAGCTGTCAGGATGAGATGAGCTGTGAGAAAAAAGGCTGTAAAGTGTTTTAAAAATACTTTAACACATAAAGAAAACTGAGAGATAAGCAGCTATGAAGACCGTGTTTGTTACTGTCGGCACCACGAGCTTCGATGAGCTCATTGAAAGCATCACGAGTCCGGAGACCGTTCAGGTGAGTAAACAAGCTAAAGCTAAAAAAGAGCACCCGAGTTTGATTCTGCTTTTGTTGTTGTTTTTATTGGCTTAATTAAACAATACAAATATATTGTATGAACTGTACTTTTTTAAATGATAACATAATTATTCAGGTTGTGTAAATCATTCAAAGAGTTGGATACCAAAGAGAAACAATTAAATTAATTGTCATACAAAGTAAAAACACATACGAACGCACATAAGAGGATTCAAAAAACAGGTCTAACATTGAAGAATGTTCTGGTTTCAAAATCTGATCGTTATTTGACATGCTGCAACGTCCCGCCGTGTGTGTGTGTGTGTGTGGAAGGAAGTCCGCGGATTGGTCCAAACGTAATGGCTCCGCGGATTCGTCCAAATCACTATACCCAAATACGTCACTATACCCAAGAAGAAAACAATCGAAAAAGAAAAATCTCCAACGAGGCATTCTGGGGCAGCATAGACAGGTCTTTTCTGTGTTAGAGTTTTACTCGCTACATGGTGTACTTTGAGGGTTTGTGACTCTGCAGACCATTTACATGCAGAAAAAGCTACATAAGGGGACAAGGGGACGGGTAATAACCAGAAAAGCATGACATGGGACCTTTAAGATTTGTGGCACTAAATTATATATGCAGGACCAAATAACTGCTACATGTGACAGAACGATATAAATACACAATTACACAAAACCAAATTGTATTGATAACGAGTGAAAACAAATGAAATTTGAGCAATACATTGTTCTTCGTTGATAGGTACATAAAGAAGTCAGGACTTTTGATTTGATCGCGGCAGCAAATTCAAAGTAGGAGTTTTTGAACATGTGACTAGTTTAATAATAACTTGTTTTTCTCCTCACAGGCTTTAACGGCTCGTGGATATGAGCGTTTGGTCCTTCAGGTTGGTAGAGGGTCTCTTGTGCCAGCTGCTGACAGCTGTCCGGACGTCACACTGGAGGCTTATCGATTCAAAGACTCGATAGCAGAAGACATCGAGCAGGCCGACCTCGTCATCAGCCACGCAGGTCAGTCAAGTATCAAAAACCATGAGCTCCTGCCACCTGGACACTCACTCTTCCCGTAAACAGTGTTTTATTTAGATTTTTAACAACCACAAAAACTGCTTTTTACATGTTATATAACACAAAGATATTGCTGCCTTGAAACAAAACAAAATAAAACAGAACAAAACAAGAATGGTCCTACTGTTGACATTCTTATTTTATTTCAATTGCATAGATGCCAAAAACATCTCAAGTATTTAGAATAAAAAAACCCTAATCTAAGATCAGAAAACGTTGTTTAGAGAAACCAATCATTCGCTTGACCATCTTTTATATCTGAATCCTTTATAATAACTAATCAGCCTCCATATGGTCTGATGTATATGCTGTTAAGCCTTTAAAGCTGAAGTTGTAGTTTAGGATTGATAACTGTGCAGGCTATGTATCAATGTAATAGGTTTCTTATTCCATCACAATCAATTGATGCTGCCAATCTGTAAATGTAAGTCTTTTTAAAGAGATTTTCACTATTAAAAATGATTGATAAGGTCAATGTGCCACAACCGTTATTTTCTGTTAATGACTGTAGATTTCAAAGGAAGAGCAAATACAGGTATGTCAGCATCAATGTGCAAACATTAAACAGAAAACTGATGATTAATACAGCAACAGGCAACACAGCATGAGGGCATCAGAGGGTGTTGAGCAAACTGTAAAAACAGGATGATATTAAAGCAAATCTCTTGGATTGGATTATAGCTGTGGCCTGCTTGCCTTTAAGCCACTTCACAGTTTTTTCAGACGTGTTTCCTATCCTTCCATGTGCACAGTGTTGGTGAGAATGACGATAGACAACAGGTGGGCTGTCAAGTCATTATCCTGCATAGCTGAAACTTTTTAATAAAAGGAAAGAAGCAGCAAGTCATGGACGACTGTATTTGAGTTATAATGAGGCAAAACCTTTCCTTAGAGGAAGTCTAGTGTGCACAAGATCAATAGCGTACCATGCTGTGAATGGATCTGGCCCTTCCTACATCCAGGACATGGTTAAACCGTACACCCCGGCACGTGTACTCTGCTCTGCATCAGCCAAACAGCTTGCTGCACCCTCACTGCGAGGGGGACCCAAGTTCCCATCAGCAAAAACACGTGGGTTTGCTATCCTGGCTCCAAAATGGTGGAATGAGCTCCCCATTGACATCAGGACAGCAGAAAGCTTACACATCTTCTGGCGCAGACTGAAAACTCATCTCTTTCGACTCCACTTCGAGCGATATAATTACTATCAAAGCACTGTATACTAATAAAGGGCTGGCTTATCTAAAGCCAGTTGAGTAGCACTTGAAATGTTTGGCTCTATGAAACCTATGTACTTATATGATTCTGTTTTCTTCAAGTTTGTATCTTCTTTGTCGAATGCACTTATTGTAAGTAGCTTTGGATAAAAGCGTTAGCTAAATGCAATGTAATGTAATTGTTTCATGTTTTTACAATTTCTCAGCTTCACACACATTTGAACACTTCACATCCTTGTTGAATATGTTAAAAAGCATGTCATAGATTTGGAAACTTGTGTTTTTCCAACAAAAGCAAAAACTCTTTGGTGTCATGTTACATTAACAGCTGGAATAAAGTTAATTATAAGATAAACAACCTTTAAACCTGATGAAAGTAAAACATTATTTTAGCCTTTTTACATGACTTCCATCAATCGTGACATGTTATTGTGTTCATTGGTCATCTTGAATGTAGTGCTGTACGCAACCAAATTCTACATCACCACTCAAATTCTGCACATCTTTTTGCAAGTGTTCTCTTACCTAGGAAGGCACTATTAATTACTTTTTTAAAACCAAGATAACAAAATAATACATTTAAAATATTTTTTAGGGGGATAACATCATAAAACATGGCAACATACTATCAGAGCTTTTCCGAAAACCTCAATAGAAGAAAAAAAAGATATTCGGCACATCTCCTTGAATGGCAGAGCTTCCAACCTGTTGAATGCAACGGACAACACAAAGTAGACAATTAGTTTACTGGTATGAATTGACCGTTTTAAGCTTGTTTCAAAACTCTGTATGAAAGTCTATCTTGAACTTTCACTCTATAGTAAGACAACGAGAAATTTAAGAAAACGCCTTTTTCTTCTCAGGAGCGGGAAGTTGTTTGGAGTCGCTCGGTGCCGGAAAATCTCTGCTGGTCGTCGTCAACGACAAATTGATGAACAACCACCAGCTGGAGATGGCCAGACAGCTGCACATGGACTCACACCTGTTGTACTGCACATGCAGGTATGACTTTCCATCTTTACACTTTATAAAGGTCAGAATGATTTGATACATGTATACATGTCAGATAAATGATTTGATACATGTCAGATAAATGATTTGATACATGTCAGATAAATGATTTGATACATGTCCGATAAATGATTTGATACATGTCAGATAAATGACTTAAGTATAAATAANGTTGCCCATAAACTACATGTCCCACAATGCATCTCAAATTAGACGTATTTTCAAATTCTGAGAAAAGGGCACATTCTAAGAAAAAAAGCATATTTAGAAGAAATACGTCTAATTTGAGATGCATTGTGGGACATGTAGTTTATGGGCAACGTGCTTCTGTAAATCATCATGTAACCGTATAATAAACATATTATATTCTTTGCAAGCTCTTGTGGGGCCACAGAAAATGAAGTCACGGGCCGGATTTGGCCCCGGGCCTTGAGTTTGACACCCCTGGATTAAATGGACAGTTCACCCCAAATTCCAAAATCCAAATTTCCCCTTACCTGTAGCGATATTTATAAATCTAGATAGTTTGGTGGGGGATGTTGAGTGTAGGGAATATCAGTCATTAAGATGTCGGCTTTCTCTCTAGTATAATTAAAACAGATGGCGCTCAGCTTGTGGTGCTGAAAGCGCCAAATAAAAATAATCCCCACACCTCTTTGTGAGTGGATTAATGTAGGAACAATTCTCTTTACTGTATCACTGCGTAGAAGGAAGTGTGCATCTACTCATGGAAGAGAGGCTCGAGACAGCGCAAGATGTAAGCATTAAAAGCATCTTCCTCTGCTGAGCTGTAACATTAGTTATCTGAGACGAAGTCAGGGAGTCCATGAGTGCATGAACACTTCTTTCTGAGTAGTGATACGGTTTACGGGTGTAGTTCGGTAGAAAGACACGTTGATCTCCAGCTCTGATACAACTGACCTACCAATGTCTCCTGAGGGCATCATGCACAGAACAGAGCCTGTCTCGTTAATGTTAGCATAAAGGAAGAGATGGATGAGAGCGGACGAGAAGGAGAGCAGGAGGAGAACAAAAAGAAAACAAAGACAAAGAGTTGTGGAAAAAGAAAAGGTGCAATCAGCAACAGCAGGTTCAAGGCGAGTGAACAGGTTCAGGTTAGTGCAGGCAACAACAGGCTGTCACTGAGAGCAAACACACACAGTAAAGCTGTATTGTACAGGTGACTAAATAAGAAACCCTTGCATTTGTCTGGCCAGAATCAGGCTCTGTGATTGGGTTTACCTTCATGTGTGGTGACAGTATGATCGTGTTTCAGTGTGCAGGGACTCACTGGTGGGGATGAAGGTTTGCTGCTGCAGCTGCATGTTAGCCAGGGCTTGCTGGTAGTGGAACATGCTGGGGTTAAAAACGGCGGTGGCTCCGTTGCTCTTCTCTAACATCTGCCTCTTTGGAAGCTGTTGCATGCCCCCTGGAGGGAGAACCTGGAAAGATAGAGGACTCATCTATTACAGGCAACGTAAGTCACCATTATGTCAAATATCACTGCTGATGATACACAACTTTATATGTCATTTTAAACATAATGATGTTTTGCTTGTTTTCATTTTCTATTCTCCTGGTTCTTTAATGACTGTCTTTTATCTTGTTTACATGTGCTTTTATGATGGGTTTCTTTTTGCTATTTGTCTCAGAGATTTGTGTAAAGCACTTTGAATGTTCTTGTTGTTGAAACACACTTTATAAATAAACATGTCTTGCCTTAATTCGAATGACGTTTTGAAAAGGTTGCAAAACATAATGTTTTTAATTTGACAAACATTGGCAAAATTAGACAATTTCAATTCAAAACGAAGCGGAAATGCTTTGCTTTTAAACAAAACACCAAGATTATTGAAACTCTATCTACTTGTCTCGCTGTCTTTTGTCTTAATGTGTTAAGACTGGGTGTAACGGTCTGACTAGTGATTATATTTGGATGTTCATTTGTGTGCCTTGCTTATCAATTTATGATTTAGTAAATTTGAGTGTAATTAGACAATTGTAAAATGTAGAGTATTATCTGAATAGCGAAATGTAGAATGGTTCATATTTGGGATGTGGTCGGTGAGTCGCATGACCACAGTCAGGTCATAAGGCATTGCCATGGCAACGCATGCCGTTGGCATAATTCTACAGGGTTCAAGAGGCGCACACGGTAAATGTTTCTATTTTGTGATATGTGTGTTAATATTTAGTTTGTGCTTTGATTTTGCTAATATGTTAGGTGTTACGATTTAATGTAAACTTTCAACTGTTCATTTCTTATAGTTTACACGTTGTCTTCGGAGAATGAGAGCGAGAGGGAGAGAATAAACCGTCAAAACGACTTCAGTATGTTCGTGGCCTTATTTATTGGACCGGTGTAGCTAAACTGGGTCTTAGGACATTAAGTAAGGACTATCTTTTCATTTGGCTTTTTATGTAGGGTAACTGTAATGTTATCACTTTTATTGTTTGGTTTTATTATGATAAAAACATGTTTTTCTGTGTTTTGTTGAGTTTTTCCTCTCACTAATGCTATTGCTTGTTATTAATTATGTTCAGCTCATCTTATTTAGTTCATAACTATATATTTTCTTGTATCTTGTTCTTATTATTATTATTATATTCATGACTAGTAAAAGTATCTGGTGCTATCTCACTGTAAAATCCTTAAACCCTTCATCCAATTCATTTTGGGTTTTCTGTTTTCGCCACCAGAGGACGCTGCAGTGTCTCAGATTTCTGAAGTGATGCAGGACGGCCCAGAGGTCGGCCAAGTGCAAAATGCTATCGCTATGATTTCATTCATTAATGGGGCGAGGTCTGAAACATCAAACTGCATTGGAAGATAAACAAGGGAATGATTGACCTATAATAGGGAAGTACAATTATAACATAAAAACACACATATCACATTTTACAGGATGTTTCATTAATTTTTTTTTTTAATTATCCTCCCTGATTACCCTGAATAATTAAAGCTTAGATGAAAAATAACAGCATAAAGTAAAACCATGGATAACAAATGTTTTCCATTCCTTTCATTATACTTTGCTTCATCTTTTTCCAGCACTGCATTTCTTGTTTTTCCTGCATCAGCACTGCAGATTGACCTGATTATGTTACAGCTGCTCTCAATGCTAACTTTAGCCCGTGTAGCTGAGAGCACCGACTCAGTCTCATGCACAGTAGGAGACATTCATGAAAAAACATAATCCCCCAGACTGCAATATCACATTGCAAGCTGGCTGAGGGATACTGCGATACCCTGATCCATCATTGCATCAGTAAACATCATCCACGTACAGAACTAAAACATCTTCTCCTGTTTCACTGCTGGGTTGAGCAGAATGTTGATTTGTAACTTCTGAAAAAGCGAGTTGATTTCGGGTTTACACCTGAGCATGTTCAAAATGTCATTACGGGAAAGTGTAAGGGCCACACATAAGAAAGAAATAATAGGAAAAAGAATGTTGAATTTAATTATCAGAGGAGGAACCAGTTATTTTGGTTTGTTTTTTGTATTTCCAAATTGAAGGAAATGTTGAGATTGAAGTATAAATAAGGGGAAGAAACGTTGAACTTCTGCAAATTAATCTAAATACTAAGGGTTGGCACATATACTCAAAGTTAATCTGTGCTCTCATCATTTCAACTGTATTCTCGCAATGTTAAATTACTAAAAAAATCCTCTTCTAACACTAGTTTTTTTATGACTGGCCCAAACATTTTTTAATGTTGAATTTGTTGGTGTGCAGAACCAAGAGTCCTGAGTGTGTGTGTCTCACCAGGCCTGCGCCCGCTGTGTTGTGGCTGGCTTGGTGCTGCGCAGCCTTGATCCGGGCCTGCAGGTGAGCCGGAGGGTGGAAGTACTTGCACTTGTCTCGGCTGCAGCGGCCTTTGATGTAGTCCATGCAGACGATGACCGAGTTCTCGCTGCAGTCCACCATGCCGGCCTCCAGAGGATGAGCGTAGCGGCAGTCGCTCTCGCCCCGCGTGCAGTTACCACGCTGGAACTCTCGACAAACCTGCGAGACAAAACTGTTAGCAACAAACTGTTCTGTCCGCAGTATCGGAAAACCACCAGACTCAAAGACAGTTTTATCCCACAGGCCATAAGACTGCTAAACACCTGAGCTCTGCTAAGTGCCCCGATAAACATTCCTGTTGTCATCTTGCAATATACTCATTTATATAAATAGTTATCACCACAATAAACCATATTTAATTTTGTCTTGATTTACATTATTTAAATTTCATATTTTGTTTTTGTACATATCCCATATTCTATTGACATGTATATAGACTTTTTGCACTATGGTTTATTTTGTATTTTATTATATATGTTGCATTGTTGGAGGAGCTCAGGTCAGAAGAATTTCATTGCCATTTCTACACTGTAGCTTTGTGCATAGGACAATACAACCTTTGAATCTTGAATTGAATCTTGAGGGTCAGAAGAGCTGTGATCAACATTTACCCTTCATCACATATTGGCCAAACATAGAAACACAACAACTGCCCCGGGCTGCATACCTCCAGCTTGTCCGTGCGCAAATGTTTCTGAGCGGAGGTGCCGTTGCCCATGGCAGCCAGGCCGGTGGGGCTCCCAGGGACCAGCAGGGGGGCGCTGGTCAGCATCTCGGGCATCAGGCTCATGCCGTGGCCCATGTGGCTCAGATAGGGACTGAAGGCCATACTGGGACACGTTCCCAGAGAGGGCGTCATCGGGAATGTTGTCTGAGGGAGGGACATCAGCGCAGAGACCAAAGAGACACAACAAGTTATAGCAGAGCTTTCGCTGGCGTTAGGACAGGAGTTGGTGGAAACATAAACAGAACTTTGTTTTTGACAGCATTGAAAACCATGTAGTTACCTGAAGTTGTACAATTACTTTGAACATTAACATTGAATTAATAATATTTAAAAGCTCAAGCTCGTCAGTTTTGATGGCAAATTTCATATTTACTTTTAAGTTGAATAAAAACAAAGCTACCTTCCCTGTCCTGATGATGATCCTCAATGAGTTTTAACCAAAAATACCAAAAAATAATAAGAACAGATGAGTCACAAAGTATTAGGTAAATTAAATGTTTTGGCTATTTAAATGAATTTCAATATTTCATATACATTAAAGTAAGGGATAGAAAAATAATATTTTTGGTCTCCCATTTCATCTTTATTGGAGAACAGAAGTAAATATATATTTAGCTGGGGGCATAACTTAATGAAAATCCTATATTATTACCAAATAAACGCCACTTTGGTTAAAACATACCTCACAGTAAACACAGTGCAGTTAATGCTTTGTTGAATAAATGAAATTTTGAAACACATTAAATATGCTCACTATGGGCTGCAGCTGGGCTCCAGGCAGCATGAACTGCATCTGTTGAGCCAACATGGCCGCCGCGGCCTTCTGCTGGATCAGGTTGTTCCTCCCGTTAATCTCCAGCTGCGTTTTCAGGTGCGGCGGTGGATGCAGATATTTACAGTTCTCACGAGTGCAGCGCCCCTGAAGAGGAGAGAGGAAGGGGGGAGGACAGTGTGAGAGCAGGGGTGACACTGAGAGTCATGTGACACTAAATCAATCACGGGTGTGCCTTGACATAGAGAGCTCACCTTAAGGCAGATCTAAGTTTAGAAGAGCGCTCATCACTGTAATCAATATGTTCAACTAAACATCAGGAAGCGTGGGTGTTTACAGAGCAAGATATGTACAGTAAATTCTGGTGAAATAAAGCAGTAATGAAGTCCCAGAAGACTGCATATTGGATTATTCATGAGAAATGTGAAACCACTTTCTAAAATGTTCATCATTAAAAAGTACGCTATGCTGGAAACAACAACGATCTGAGCTACACAGCAATGTAGAAAGTCAATAGGTTTTTCATGTTTCTACAAGACAATTACTTTGAGCCATTGAGTCAAACTGTACTTCCTACTTTGTACCATTAACAAGTCACGTTTAAAGCGTTGCGAAATGACAGGTGGAGTATTTGAACCAGCTTTGGATTTTTCCACAGAAGCACAGCAGAGTCAGATAAACCTCGCTGACAAGAGATAAAGCTGGAGAGTGAAAACACATGCTCGACTCTCACTGACCTGTACGAGACATTCTTTTATCTAGTTTCACTCAATAGATAAGCTACTTAATAGAAAGAGAGAGATATAGAAAGAATGTATCTGACTGACTTCAGTACGTGGAGTTGGTTGAATTCAGATCAGATTAATCAATCTATCATCATCATTTAAACTTGTAAGAAAAACTATGTAAGTACTTTTAGCAAAAACAACTCAAAAGTTTTAAAAAGCAAAAGTACTTGATAAAAATGGTTCCTGTCAATTATAGGTTATATTATAATTGTACATTTCTACAGCATTTTATTATAGCAATAGAAATGCAACAATGCTATCGCTAATTATTGTGTTCTTCATCTCCATTACTCCTCACATTCAGAAGGTCAAAACATAACGGCTACGCACAAGTGAAGAACATTTTTGATTAAGTGATGTACTTTTCAATTCGAACAAAACAACTAATTATTACAAATTAGAAATGCTTATCTAATGAACACAGAGAACTATTCATGACTATTCATTAACAAGTGCCGCATGTCGGCTTTGCATGCTGGGCTTATTTGCATAGTCAAAGCATTTGTATTGGTCTGACGGCAGACAGAGTGTGTGACTGCAACCTGAGTCTTACACGTGTGCATGTAAGGTAGATTCTCTGAATAATAAATGTGGATGAAACAGCAAGAGATGATTATAAAAAACATTCTCACTCGTCATTTCAGGTTATCAAATAAATGGAATATTGTATAAAAGCAAACCAAAGTAGAACTGCAGTTGAGGTTCCTCTGATGAGCTCATAACACAGCACACAGTATCAGTGATTAAGGCAGTTTATCTTTTGGCGTCATTGGGCAAAAACTCAGTAATAACCTAACATAATGAAACTCAAGTGGTACTCCAGTGTAGGCAGTTTTCTGGAGAAGGTAAAACAGTCACCTTTGGATGTTATTCATTCAGACATGAATCGATTCTGATTGTATTACAATACCATTAGCATTATAGCAGCAATTATTTGATAATTCTGTTTCCTTTGCAACTATGTGGTCCCTTGAGATAGCACTGTGCAAGCTATGATTACTAGAAGCCACGTTATTAGCAACATTTCTGGGATGTTCTGCAAATATTGCCTGTCTCTCTTTTTGATAAGTTATTTTTCCTTATTTGCAGTTGTGGCCAATATAAACTTTGCCTGGAGGACATTTCACTGTTGAATCAGTCATTCAACATCTGAAGGGACATGCACATGCATTTGTAGAACAGCCAATAGGAACGCCCTCCCCCTGACCTTGGATTAGCCAAAGTACAAAAGAGATCCTAATTCCTGAAAACAAGAGCTGAGAGAAGGTGCAGAAGTCTAATATTTCAATCGGACCACTTGAAAAGCAGTATGGTGAAATTGTATTATGGAATTCTAGCCAAATAACTAATAACTTGCTTATGTTGCTGTTATTCTGTGTTTTAGTCTACCGAGTCTCATCCTAATTGAGCAGCCACAAACCATTTTTATCAAAAGTATTTTTCCAACTCATTTTTCAACTTGTCATTTTTGTCTTCTTGTGAATCCCTAAATCTGATTTTGAGCCACTTATCTTAAAGCAATTGATTTTGCCCCAGCACAATGTTAAAGCTGTGTCCTTGCTCCCTGCTGGAGTGTGTGGGGAAGGTGAAGATGGTGCTGCAGGAACACTGCAGGTCAACACACACTCTGCAGTCTCCATTAAACCCCTGGGCTGACAGCAGCTGTCTGGCCCTGCAGATGAGCTGTTAACCCGCTAAAGTATCAACACTGAACGACTAACCACACCCACCAGCTCTCATTAGGGGCTGGAGAGAGTGCCGCACAAACTGGCAGCAGAGAATGAAAAACTCTAAAGACAAAGTGACGTCATGGTGCAGAGACTCTGACGGTGATGGATGATGTCGCACCGAGATGAGGACACAAAGTGTTTCAGCAGCAGGAGAGCTATATAGGACATCTGCAGTGTGTCCTCTACCAGCATCCAGGAGGGATTCACACGACCTCACAATAGCACACAAAAAGCATACAAGCAGAACATGTAGCAGCCTGAAAACGGTCAGATTGGCTTACACAAACACCTTCGCCTACACAGGAGAGGAGAGCAAGCTTTGCGTCAGCAGGCTGTGTGTTTAGGGATGAGTCTGTAATGAGGAGTGAGTCCCACGAGCCCAGCAATCCTCAAACTCACAGAGAAGGAAAAACACACTTAATAATGTAGCACTTAATGCAGTCTGTGCTCTGCAGCTAGATTAGTTGGACAAAAAGAAAGGAAAGATACAAAACCTTTAAAAAAGGCTATAAAATCTGGGTTTGAGGAGGAGGCCGCTGAAACGTGGCGTTGAGGAGAGTAATGGGTCAGGAATCTCCCTGTGGTTGCCATAGCAACACAATACGCAACACAGAGAGTCCCTGTTAGTGCAGCAGAGTGCTGCATCAGAGAGGAGATCAAATCATAAATACACAGATAAAACTGGCCAAATAGACCATAATAAAGTGGTAAAAAAACAAGCTTCTTTTGGCTTTCCCTTAACAGTATGAAGTACATGTGAATGTTTATAAAAAGATTGACACTGTCAGCCTTTTTATTGGTTATCTTTAAGGCTTGCTTTCACTATGCAGTTCTGTCTGACACTTGGTACAATCTGCTGGGAATTAGAGGGCTTGATTTATGGCACGAAGAGGTGGAAAACAAAACGCAGTGTGTCCTGTGCTGCGTTGCCAAGTCTTTTCCAACGAAAGCAGTTAGCACAATCTCCAAAGGTTGCCATCATGGCCGTTATACGCTCATTTGCCTATTGGTAATGTCATTTTGCCAGCATTTGCATAAAGCATAGTCTTGTCTTTTGCAACAGTGTGGGAGAGATCCTGTGCAGTTGGCTGAAGAGCCGTGTACAGTGATTACCCTGCGCAGCATTGAATATGAATTGCACTGTAATATATGTGAATTTATTACTTGCTTTTTCTCTTATGGTCTGAATAAGTTGCTACATTCTTGGTTAAAAGTAGACTCTGCGGAAGACAGCAAGATATCAGGTCGTCTTTGTGGAAGTAGCACCAATAATCATTCAAAATTAAATGAATTGTATACAATGGGATGGCACTTTGATTCAGACTGAAATATCTCAACAACTGTAGGATTAATTAAGGATGCAAATGTGTTCAAACACTCATGTTGCTCAGAGGAGGAATCCCACTGAGTTTGATGATCCTCTGAGTTGTCATTTAGTACCACTATAAGTCTGACACTTGTATTTTAGTATTTTTAATTTGTAATCTCAACTTTAAGATGGATTGCAATGAATTTTGGTAGAGGTCCACGTTACTCAGCCGGTGCGTCTCTTGGTCTTGTTAATCGTAAAGATATTACTACAAATATGCTTCTTCCAGCCTCTAAAATGTGAAGATTTCCTGTTTTGACTTTTCTGTTTATGATAGTAAACTATTTATTCTTGGGACCAATTTCTGATTAGACAACAGCAGTATTTTAAAGAAGTCGTCTTTGGCCTTTTTAATCTATTTTCCGTCATGTTAATTTGATTAAAGGTTAAAACGCTCCATGGATTAATCGATACTGAAAATGATTGTTAGCTGCCGCCTGACCATGATGTCTTCCAGAAGTGACACTGCAGTTGAATCTTCTGCACGCCGGGCAGATGTGATGTCCACACTAATCATTGGAGATGACAGCAGCACTCCAGTTAACAAGGTAAAAAGAGCCCCCCCCCCC